ATCAAGACAGTATAGTATGGTCATAAGGATAGGCATATACATCAATGGAACAGAATTGAGAGTCAGAAATAAACTCTTACATTTATGGTCAATTTTCAACCAAGATCATTCATTAGGGAAATAGTCTCTTCAATGCAGGATATTGGCAGGGGCAATTGATATTTAGCTCAGGTTATTAAAATATATCCACACTTGCTTAGGAGTAGCCAGTGTCCCAAACCCTTCCATGCTTCACATACTCAGGACCCTCCCAGACTTACTGTCTATCTTGCTGCCCCACAGAAGACCTCCAAGACCCTGCTCCAGCCCCACATTCTGATTGGTCATTGTAGCACTAGTTGTAAAATATTTTGAAAATCACTCCCAGATACAAGTGTTTTTCTTCCTGGCACACAAGCAACTAGGGAAGAACCAAAAACAAAGCCATAAAATAGTGTTAACTGGGATACAGACTGTTTCATTCATTTCCTCTTCCTTAGCAACCTCTTTCCTGTTTAAAAATTCTGCATGTATAGCGATGTGTGTTCCTGTAAAGAAAACAAAATCAAACTTGCATATAAGTTCCCATTTTTGTAAAATACTGTTATATCTACTAGAAAAGCTTGCTATTTAAAGAAATGATATTCTATATTAAACTACCTGATTCTGTCCTCTAGAAATATAGCAGAGGGCCTTTCAAGGACAGGTACTTAGCTACCTGAATATATCTATCATATCTTTACCGTATCTATCATCCTTCTTTTCTTTTCTCTGGGTTAAAATCCTGGTTCCTGCAATTGTCTAAAACAATAAGTTGCCCTTAAACTCCTCACCATTTTGATCCTTGAGAACACATCATTTTTATCAATGTCCTTCCATTTTTTTTTTTTTTGGAGAAAGAATCTCACTCTGTTGCCCGGGTTAGAGTGCCGTGGCATCAGCAACCTCAAACTCCTGGGCTTAAGCCCTTCTGCCCCAGCCTCCTGAGTAGCTGGGACTATAGGCATGCACCACCACGGCTGGCTAATTTTTTCTATATATATTTTTAGTTGTCCAGCTAATTTTCTTTCTACTTTTAGTAGACACGGGGTCTTGCTCTTGCTCAGGCTGGTCTTGAACTCCTGACCTCAAGCGATCCTCCCACCTTTGAGCCACCACGCCCGGCCTGTTTGTTTTTTTGTTTTTTTTTTAAGAGGCTTAGAGACACGATCTCACTCTTGCCCTGGCTGGTCCTGGCCTCAACAAATAAATCTACTACCTCGGCCTCGCAAGTCCAATTGCTGGGCAGGTGTGAGCCACCCTGCCCAGTGCTTTTTCTACATTTCAAGGAGCCAAGAAGTCAAGGACGGAAATTGAATCTTACCTGGAATGAAAGGGAAGTGGCGGAGGCTAACAAAACTGTGCCTAGGGGCAGACAGTGCTGGTCCCTAGATGAATGTTTCCATTTCAAATGTCCAGGAAGCAGCAGAGTAGACCTGCAGCTGATATTGTAGACATAAATTTGAGTGAGGGAGGTACTGTTTGTGATCTCAAACCTGCACGGGGCTGAGTTATGTAAAATTCTTATAAAACACACAGACACTAGCACTCTGGGAGGCTGAGGTGGGCGGATCGTTTGAGCTCAGGAGTTCGAGACCAGCCTGAGCAAGAGTGAGACCTCCGTCTCTACTAAAATTAGAAAGAAATTTGCTGGACAACTAAAAATATACAGAAAAAATTAGCCAGGCATGGTGGTGCATGCCTGTAGTCCCAGCTACTTGGGAGGCTGAGGCAGAAGGATTGCTTGAGCCCATGAGTTTGAGGTTGCTGTGAGCTAGGCTGATGCCACAGCACTCACTCTAGCCCGGGCAACAAAGTAAGACTCTGTCTCAAAAAAAAAAAAAAAAAAAAACACAGACAAAATCAAGTTATTTTGTTTTAACCACAAGTATTTATTGATGGATCGATGATACAATTTTAATGGAACAATAAGGCACAACTGTGGATTAAAACAGTTTGCTGTACAGCCAAAAGGGAGAAAAGCCATAATCTTAGGAACTTTAAATATGTAAATCAAGGAGCCTCTGAAGTACCTCTCTAACAGATCAGTATCAGACAATTCTTCCCTTTTATCCAATTCCTATATTCCATCACTTGATCACAAAGTCAGACTGATACTTCATAAAAAATTCCTCGTTTGTTTACACTTGAGCCATCCAGCTTGGCCACTCTCCTGTTTCCCCTTTCCCCATCCCTTTGCAGTGAGTGATATTTTTTAGCAATTCCCTTCCTGAAGAATTGTGTACACATCTTAGCCTTCCAAAGCAAGGAAACAAGCAAGCAAGCAGGCAATGAATCAGAGAAAGTCAGCCAAGAGCAGATACATGGATGAATTGACTCATACAGATATACATTAGGATGTCAATAGCCTGATTCATTGAAGCTTAACCTAAGCTGACTTTGGCAGAGAAGTTGCTGTGGCTTGCACAAAGACCTGTAATGCCACCTTAGGTTGTGGCACCAGTGCCAGACCCCTAAGGGATTAGCAGTGGTCTACATGAAGAACTAAGAAGCTCACACAACCAGGCAGCTAATGATACAATATACATTCAGTGCTTTGGA